CGCCGAAAAAAAAAACCGAAGGGCAAGTTCAGCGTCTATTTCTTTCGTCGTAGGGTAATTACTGTTGGTTCGGTAATTTCATCACTAATTTTATCTTTTATGACGGAGATATCAGTAGTAGCGCAAAGGAGCACACTAGTAATGTATTCACTGTACAGCGATGAAGTCGAGTACGATTATCCAACATGATCTGTTATACAGATTATATTTCTCTATTCTTAGGTGTGCAATCGCCATACATGGTCCAGGGTGGTGGATATGGGCAGGCTGGCAGAGGCGGTACTCGTCCAGCAGCTTCCTCTGCTGCAGTAGCTATGCGAGCTCAGCAGGGTCAATACGGACCAGGACAGGCTGGTGTAACACGTGGAGGTCCGCAGACGCAACGTATGGCTGCTGGTGGTGCTATGGTTCAAAATCAGGGCACACGCTCGCAGCAAATGGTGTGTTTTTATTAATATCCGCTTTAACATCGAATTAACTCTTTGTTTTTTTGGATCATTGTTAACGCTTTGTGTTATAAATTACTTAAATATCCTCTAGGGAGGACGACAAGCACAACCGGGAAAACCTAGCCAGGGACAAATGATGTATTCGTCGTACAGTGCCATCACTGGGCGTCCAGGTCAGGTACAATCGCAGCAGAATAGCATCGTCATTCAGGGTCAAGAACCGTTGACCGCTCACATGCTTGCACAGGCTCTTCCACAAGTTTGATTTTATCATTTTTCCCATATTTCTTGTAGTAAACTGAATTCAATCAGAATCAATGAAATTTCAAATCAAATGTGGTAGGCTCAGGATTATGAACGAGAGGGGTTTTTTTATAAATCATCTTAACTATGGAAGAATTACAAAACTTGCAGGAGCAAAAGCAAATGCTTGGTGAGCGTATTTATCCTCTCATCGAGCGCATCTATCAGGGCCCTGATGTTGGAAAAATAACCGGGATGATGCTTGAAATGGACAACTCGGAATTGCTGATGATGCTCGAGAACGAGGAATTGTTGCAGTCGAAAGTTTCAGAAGCAGCATCAGTGTTGGCGTCTTCGAAGGGTCAGAATGCTTAAGGAAGAAATCATTGATTTATTTCCTTTTTTCTTAACTTTTCAACTTCAACTTTTTTGAAAGATTACTTGGAATCTCTGACACCAAACCCTACCCCACTCAGGTTTATTATATTTTTCCTTAGTAAAAACCCCCCATTTTATGCTCACTGCTATTCTCTTTTTCTGTTGCGGCATCTCTTATTTGCAGCAGTCGGAATTCATAGGATTAAGAAGATTGCTTTAGTTGCCGTAGATTTCGTGTTATTTTTAAGCAGTTATTAATTCACCATCTCTTTAATGGGCCACATTCAATTGTCTTTTTTACGAACTTTTAAGATCTGTGAAACATTTTAAAAACAATGTAATTTCAGCGGGATTTATCGAGATATTTTTGGCTTTTTCCTACTGTGTTTTCTCTTTCTTTTTTTTAGTTATTTTCTGTAAAAAAATAATATGGACAAATCCAAATGAACAATTTGCTTCTTATGGATCGCTTCTGAATACGAGTCATAAGGCGCATTATTTGTGGTTCTTTAGTCTTCCGTTTGGTCCCTTTTTATTTCCACTTCACTCCCTTTTTATTTCCACTTCATTCATTTCTATCCCCAAAATCATCTTTTTAGCCGGAATAACCAAAAACAGCGGAAAACAATTTACTGTTAAAGTTACTCTTTTTCGATAGCTGTTTATATCCAATTTTTTCTTTTGATTTTCAAGTTTACTTTTTGTGTATTGCTTCATCGCCAATAGTTTTTATGAACCATTCGAACATGTCTTCATTGTGAGTTAAGGCCGTCTTATTTCGTTTCGTTTAGTTTTTTCCAAAAACTAAACTTTTTATGTCGTTTGATTCATTGAATAGCTGATGGAACGGCCTTTTTCATGATTGAAAATTTGGCTTTTGTTTACCATTACCGGTTTGTGGGCTATTAATCAGTATTGTCAACATGTTCTTTTTTGGTCGGTTGAATAAACCTTGTTGTTGGATTTTCGTTTGGTGTTCTATAAAAGTGAATATATCCAGGGCATTATCGAAAGATGTGGGACTTTTGGTATTTAGCTTGATTTATCATTTTACCATAAAATCGTCAAGGAAACAAAAGACTTGGGATTGCTAACGAGTAATACTTACTAAACTTCTAGTGTTGAGATTTGTCAAATGTGGGCATCTAAATTGTAGATTTATCCAAGTGACGGCTAACAACACTCCACATTATGAACTTAAAAATATAATAATGCAAATATGAACTACAATAATAAAGGGAACTCTCCGTGGCGGTGTTCCTTTTATCATTGGAGGTAGTCTCTTTAAACATTAGTCTCTGGGAGAATTCTTATGGTTCATAAATTATTGATGAGTTTAATTCGTGATTCGAAGTTTATTGTTGAAGATTCGTTTTGTTTACCAAGTTGGCATATCCCTGTTTACTTAAGACTAATTGTTGTCGTGACATCTTTGTTCGAGAAAAGTAATGAATTCTTTAAATTTTGTCAGGGAATAGTTTAGCTATCTATTTGAGGTTATCAGAAATGAAAAGAAGGAGCGATATTATGGAAACAGCTGACAAATGTGGGCAATTTGCATATCGAATGATGCATCATTTCCAAAAATATGCTAAAAAGTGCATTGAACTTGGTATTCCTGCACCATTTGCAGCCGAAATGACAAGAAATGCATCACAATCATTGAAAGTAACACTTTTACATCATTTTTATTCGTCTTTTTTATTTTTCTAACCTATACCATGGATTAATAAAACGTGAACATATCTCAGTGATGATATGATTGATTATGACAATTTTTTGCTAATTGTAGGATTTGGGAATTGAGAAAAAGGCAAATCTGTGTCATTGCTTCCGATGTAATTTGGAGTTAACTTCTACGAAGACCGTTTCATTCAGACTGTCAGTACCTAAAATAAAAATGAAGAAAAACAAATGGAGAGGACATAAAAGGTTAAAAATTTTTTTCAAACATTGCAAATCGATAATAGGAGAATATTGAGTTGGAATCTCTTGTCCAATCCTTCTATGAAGCTCAATATATTGCTATTATCTTCGTTAGCAACAATTTCTTTTATATTTTAGTGCAGTACTCTACTTTAGAAGGAACGTTAAAGCTTTAAAATGTACCAAAAAAAATTAAGACGACATCTTTTTTAATGATTTTTTTATTAAGACGACATATTTTTTAATGGAATGCATTTTAAAGAATTTTTGATTGCTAAAAATTACCCCATTCCTTTACAGTCTGGATTTGTATACGAAAAAAGTATGTATACGCTTCAAAAATTGGTTTTATTATCTGACATCGAATAGATCATCTATTGCAAAATTAATTTAAATATACTGAAAGAAATGAGTTTTTTTTTTGCTTTCAGATGTTTATTAATTTAGGCCTACTTTGATAGTGGTTTGTAAAGGATGTGGGGCTGAGATGAAAGGTGGTGCGTTGGCAGTTGTGGATTGTAAGAAACAAGCTATGGAAACGTCTTCCGATCAAAGTTTGAAACGAGAATCACGAAGATTTTCAGGACAATTTGCCTTTTCTACACCGAAAACTTCATCACGACAAACTCCAGTTTCCAGCCAGTTAGTTACATGTTTTCATGTTTTTCTTTTGTTTTAATCTGTCTCTAATTCTATACATATTCTTTCATCAAAATATCAGTACTACATTATGAAAAAGCATAATTATAAAGCATTAAAAAATATAGTTGATTACAAAAGATTGTTACAATATGAGAAAATTGTCAT